CTACAAATAGCAACAACTAATCATGGTAAGAAATATAAAAATCCATATGTAAATAAGCCAAAACAAAAACTTTCATCGACTTCATTTTCCATGCATTTTTTTCATGTCGAATTAAAAGAAAATTGTTTTAATAATACCTGGGACTTCAGATACAGTAGCTACATTTTAAGTCCCAGATAAATACTGATAGTAATACACACACTGGAATGAAAAATTTTCGATGAACTTCAAAAGGACCAACTTCATGACTTTTTTTGTTTTTCATTTTATATGGTGCAACATTATTTATCAATATACTTGAGTAATGGAAGACTGTTATCTGAACTTTAGACATTATGAGGAAATTCACTTACATCATGTTCGTGTGAGTCAAAGATATAAAGCTACTTGACATTGGTGATAAATAAAGGGTAATTGTTAATTGGTTTATTGGTAGATCAATCTACTATTTTGTTGAATTGCTTCAAAATCCTCCTCTGACCCACCAGCGTGTTTACATTCCTATCAAAAAGCCCGTTACATCTCATATTAAAACTGCAGACGAACATTTCACTCAAATCACCATAAACCCGATTGCCTTCAAACAAAATAGAATCAACTTCTTACAGCAAGAATTCGGGAAATTAGGGTTGATTTAAATACTCAAGGTTAAATGTGCCAGTAGTGTAATCAGGACCGTAAAAATGAAACAGCTATAAATTTAGCGGAAACAACCTACGGTAATTACAATTTCAAAATGATAATACTATGATATAACAATTCGTAAAAATTTCCTACCTAACTTTTTTCGATAAATTTATAAAGAGTGCAATTTATTGTTGAATATGTTTGCATTTCATGTCCTGCAAAAATTCTCCAGTTCGTTATTTAGTACCATAGCGCGACACGCTTGATCGTTTCCTTTAGTTTCAGACTCAAAACTAAAATAAAGTTTCCTTTTAAAAGGAAAGGCTTGCTCAGTTGTGCCATCATCCCATCCCTTTAAAATTGTTTTTTTTTTTGTTTCAATTTATTATCACATTTTTTTTAATTACGGTATTTGTATATCATAAAGGGTTTATTTAGATTTTTTTTTCTTTTTTTTTCTCTCTAAAAAAGGTTTCACTTTTAAAGGGATAGATAGGGTAAGCCCAAGACTGGACGAGCACCTGTGCCCATTTATATGAGCACCAGTGTTATGCATGCAAATTTCGACAAAAGAAGGATAAAAGTCCACTGATTATAACTGAAAGGAACATGCTGACGATAACAGTAACAACTTTTTTTGTAAAAACGAATATTTTTTTTTTGTCAAAAACGATTTAAAATCTATTTTCTATTGTATAAAACTAATAAAGAAAATAATCAATCGTAAAAATACTAACATTGGCTATCCCACGTGGAGATCTATCTAACATACTGAAGGGAAACAAGTGTGCACATTTCATTTCCACTTGGCAGTTGTAATTTCATTTATATAGCAGCTTTATAGACAAGTAAATGCACTAAAAGACTTCGTTACGTGGTGCCAATTAATAAGGATGTATCAATTATATTACACCTAAAATATCTATGATCACAGATATACCGACAACACAGGATGCGCTATCTGTAGATCAGCACGAGGTAAGATCAATGATATGCATGGGCTATTTTTAGATTACCTCACCAAGACGTTTAACCTCTACGATAGAATTGCGTTTAAATAAAAGACTCAGTAGATCTAAATATATAAATTCTGTGTGATTTGGTCACGATCTTTTGGTAAGCAGGACCGCCATTTGGGGACAGAATACTACTACAGTAACCATTCTCTATTGTATAAAACTAATATTATAAAAGAAACTAACTTTTGCGTCTTAGTTTAAACATAGTTTATTTCAAACAATGATACAAGTACATCATGTTGTTAATACATTTATAGCTTTCGAATTCATGTACAGTAATAAAATGAATACATATTCGACTATGTACTACAAATTAATAAGAAATTTCATACAGATTATACAAATGTAAGAAATAAATTACCGAATTTAAGTGTCTGCCTTGTTATACTACCTTCCCAGCGGTTGAGGCGTAAAATTAGTTGCCGTTCTAATTCATTAATATCACATGCTGCGGATCACAGAAGGGGGAACCAATATGTGACTTTACATAATAGAAATCGGAAGGAATTATTGATTCAAAATTTATTTTAAGCCGTAAATCGAAGGGATTCATTGATAAAAATCGGGTATGGACCTATGTATGAGGTTGATAGACAAAACATTTTGCACTCACTTGGATATCTTCTTTAAAACTCAATTGGCTTTGGGGAATAATGGTTAAATCGATCAGTTTCCCCCCAAAAGTCCCGTTTTAAAATAGAATTAAAGATCAGTATAAAGCTGAAACGATGAACTAAACAATTCTAGTGGAAGTTTTTCTGGAGAAAAAGAAGGTTATTTGAAGTTTAACTGAAAAATCTTAAGCATTTCCTTTATCAGGTGGTGTTCCAATGAGGCTTGTATGGTATTCTATTATTACTATTATGTATACATATCAAAGTAATCACCCCTCCGGGCTTTGCCTTGTGCCCTGTCCTGTTTTTGTTTGGGGTCTTGCTGGGTTCCTTGCCGGTGGTCCTATGTGATTCGGTGGTATGGGGGTAACGTTTATTGAACGCAACCCTTTTTGTTGATCTTGTTTTTCATATTTTGTGAAAAAAATAATTGAATAAAATGGAAGCACACGTAAAAATCCGCTACCAGATCATATTTACCATCATTTCTCTCTAATTTCATAACCAATTTTAAAACAGACTGAAGCAGTGTACTACCTTGCACAAAACTTGAATGTGGCATCATGAACTGAAATAGCGTTTACATTTGCAACACTCTGATTGGAACAGGGCGGTGAAACTGGATTTTATTTCATTTGGTTGAAGCAGTACACAGTTTTGCACCGATGGTGACTTTGAAAATGTCAAAGCAGTGAGTCTTTTAATACCTGAACACGAAACAAATGCTAGCTTTAATGAATCACAAGTATCTCAATGCTGTCAGACTCCCCCGGTGGATACGATGTAATTGTTTTTTCGCATAGCACAATTGACATTCATTTTTTTCTTTGACAAAATGAGCTAATATTTTTTCTTCTGTTCTTTCGGTATGTGATATAATAACGATAGGGTCATGATGGTCCTATTTTGCTCTCCTCGCTGCAATATATAGGGAACAAACTCTTCAATCAACCCTGACTCGGCTATAATCAGGCAACACAAGTGATCACTGGTCGCATTTGTTTGTCATTGAAATGCGATCCAAAAAGTGTTCATTTAATAATATATCTAAAACAAATTTTGAAATAATAAGCATTTGATGGTTGTTGTTTCTTTTTTTCTTTTTGTGTTTACCAAAAGTCTTGCTGTTTAGTTCAGTAGACATAATCTGAGCAAGTTTTTTTCCAAGGTAACTGTAAATGTGATGTATGTTTTCTGGTTGGGAATGTATTCCTACTTGAATTCTTATCGTCCCGTCCCTATGATATGCTTTGACAACCTATCTGTGCCATGCAGGCTTTGCAACATCTGATCCACTTTCAAAATTTCCATTTTTTTGAGCATCACAGAGCATCGCATCACATTCTTTTACTTTGAGATTATACGTCACTTTTCATGGAGAGGCACAAACGTGCCACATTGAAGGTTCAATAGTTACCTCCGTGTGAATAAAAAAAGTCTTTTTCAGCTTCTTCAATGCAATTTTTCTGAATTATGTTTTTTTCTCTTACAAAAACCTTGCCAGTGAAGGCGTTGCCTTTAGTTCGTTTGGTTTTTACACCGATTTTAACATTATTAAGCGGTTGTCCTGGATAAATTATCCGTAATGACTAAGTCTTCCTCAACAAGAGACAAACCTCTAATCTTAAATTATTTTTAAATTAGCGATAAGATACAAGTGACTTTTAGACTTATAGTCAGAGGGCAAGTATAACAAAGAAAGTTTGCATCACCTGCGGTTCGACAAGCGATTCCTGGATTAAAAGACCTATTTTCTTTAAATATAGCGAAATTCAATAACTTGAGTCAAGATAAAATTAAGGTCAAGACCAAGTTCAATCAAATCATCTTTAAATAATGTCTTGTCTCATAGATTATTGTGCACAAGTATGAGTCAAAGTCAATTGTAGAAACAAGAGCCTATGAAATAATAATCATTTTACCTCCCAGGTGAATGTTATTTATATGTCAAGGTCATATTGTGATTTTATTTTCAAAATACTGTCCTTAAGTTAGTTTACTTGAATGCCTTGTAAAATTAATTGTTGTGAAATATGAAAACAATCCATTTTATCAAAACTATCAAAGTAACAGATAACTTTCTCAGAAATCAAGCAAATTTTTGAAGGTAAAGATCGTTTAATGACAAATTCAGTTTGGTATACTTGTACACAGGGTTGTTGTGTCAAGTTAAAAGACAACCTATTAAATAATTTTTTAAAAATTGCCAATGTTAAATTTTCTTGACATTAATGAAGCATGACTGTACAGTGCAGCAATAGGTCAAAAAATTATCTAAAATTAATGATTTCTAAATGGAAAGAACCAGACACATGTTATTTCAGCATATTTATTATACAAATAGAAAACATAAATTGATATTAACCATTGATGATTTTGTTATACATTGCTTATCACTAAATTTTAGAAAAAGCATAAAATCAAACTTTTTAATGTTACGGGTATAATTAAATAGTATAGTATTCCTCACATTAATTATACATACAATGTACTTGAACTAATTTAAAAAGTAAATGTAAGTGTGCCTTGATTGTGTTCCTTTGAAAAAAATGTGGTTATTCATAGTGATCTCAACAATGTTCGAACAAGATCTGAAACATTTTAGCGAGCACAGATTAGATTAGAAATTTAATTAGAGAGACCATCAATCTATTCACTTTTACTGACTCTATTCACTTTTACTTACTTTGTGTTTACAAAGTATTACCAAGATGAAAAATAAAAATAAAACAAGACTAAATTTCTTTTAACTTCTGATAAAATGACTGCAAAAAGTTATGAAAGCAGCAATTTGCCAAAAGAATCCACAAAGTAAATTAATTTTATTAATTGCTATAAGAAGCGCATAGCACATTTTATTTATCATTTGGACCTTAACAGTGAATCAAACAAACAAAAATGTATATGTTAATATGATCATTTTATTTATCGTCAAACAGATACACCTATATAAAGTTCATTTCTAACATATACATAGAATATGATGCTGTTGTAAACCAAATCATACCATCAATAACAATCTTTAAAATACCAATAAAAAGAATATGTTTTTATGAATAACTATGAATGCTCATTACATGGATTGTTGTGACCTGATGCAAACATATACAAGAATCAATGAAGCCAAATGCATTAAACAAGTACAAAACTGTTTCCTTTGAAGCTGCATGCCTCCACATGAGCCAAATATTTTTCTTTAAATTTAAATATCAAACTCGAGACAAAAATGTACTAAGAAAAGTAAAAAAAATTCAAATAGCAACTACATGTGTGAAAGATTATTGATTTTACAGTTTTTTATCACGTGACTGATGCAGTAAGGGTTATTATTTAATATTTACACCTCTTTGTTTTGTAATTTACATGGATTTGTACTGTTTGCAAAATAAAATACTTTCTTTGTACACTAGTCTACACTACGCTATACTTCACAATTACATACATTTCAAAATTTTCATAAATATGCTACTTTAACATTATCTTTACTTACAACTAAATAGTGGTGAATAAAATACAATTGGACAATATTATTTTCAAAACAAGCTTAAGACATCATGGACCACAAAAACAGTTCGAGTTGAAAAAATTATTGATTTCATTCTCTCATTAATATTCTGCTGAACGTAGGAATACATTCATTTCTTTAAAAGTGGGGAACGGCAGCTTTCCAGCTTTTCAAGTGAAAGGAGACCTTCAGACGAAAGGTCGTTGTTGTACGAATGTGCCCGCCTGTGCCTTCCTTTCATAAACATAAAGGGGCATTAAGAAAAATCACTTTCTTGTTGTCATGCTTTGTGTTCCTTTTCTAAAATAATTTCATTCCCTTTGGGGGAACCACGGGTTGGTTTAATGTCTCACTTAACAGTATAGCTAATAAGGCAACTATTCAGGTTTACTTATGCAGGAAGACCACAGGTGGTTTTCAATGCATTATTTCTGGCACAAATTGGCACCTAAGTAAAATTACCAATATACCTTAAACTGCTTCCTCGCATAAAAAAAATCCAAAATGAAAATAATGCGATGAGGGGCAAGTGGTTTGAAGTCAATGGCTTTTACCTCAAGTTCACTAACACCTCACCAATTTATTAAAAAAAATTGTTGTAAGGAGAATTTTTACATGTAATGGTTAATGGGCAAATGACAAAAATCTGCAAACCTTGCAATACAGCAACTCACTAATCATAATATAACACACATAAAACCTATTGTGAAGCAATTTCTGTTTGTTTGTGAAGGTGCTGCAAGTGTCTTGTCTTACTTTGATACAAAGTCAATACAAGTGTTTTAAAGCTGCACGCCTCCAGATGAGCCAAAATATTTCAAGAAAATCAAACATGAGAAAAAAATGTGCTCAAACTTTAGGAAAAGAAAAAAGATTTAAGATGTAGTTTACATGTTATGTGCAATTAATGTCTGATTTTGCAGTATTTGTCACCATTTTTCTAATGCCTGACTAACACAGAAAGGGCTGGTTTTTTTAAAACTTTTGACCTCTGTTAATTTAAGTGGATTGTAAGTGTTATGTGCAATGTGTAAATTATTTTCTTTGTTCACAACATGATACATTTACATACATTTTAAAATGGCATGAATCTTGAGGCACCTGAATTCTTTCTTTGAACATTGCAATATGTCAATCATAAATAACAATGTTTATTTATCATCATTACAAATGTTTTATATATATATATCATTATATACAGCAATATACAATTTATGTGACATCTACTTACTAGAGCTGTCACAGGACTGAAAAATACCCCCACCTTACTTCTATGACAGAAGATATTATGCAATGAATTTATTATTATTATTAAAAGAAAACATTTCCGCAGAGACTGGAAAAAATTATTTGAAAGAGATAGAATCTTTAGTGCAGACACAAAATGTAAAACTTTTGACCTTCAATGGTAAATATGACCTTGGGTATGCACAGCAGTATCATAGGTTCTGCACATTGCCTAGTGGAGGATAACATTTTAGATAAATTTGAAAAAAAAATCCTTTAACTGGTTTATTAAGTGGACACAAATTGTCTGACCTTTGACCTTCAATGGTGACCTTGAGCTTGTACAATTGCATCATAGATTCTGCACAATTCCTAATTGAAATAATAGCTGAGCTAGGTTTAAAGAAAATCCTTCAAGGGTATATAATTTATAGAGTAGACACTAAAATGTCTGACTTTTTACCGATAACATTTAAGGGTGACACTGACCTTGAACCAAAACAGCGGTCACGTGGGTTCTGCAAATTGCTCAAGATGAGGTGAGAATTTGAGTTTAAAAGGGTAAAGGAATTACAAAGTGGAAACAATGGATCCATGGACTGACTGACCGACAACTTGCATGATAAAGTGATTCCAAAATATGTGGTGTGGGCATAATAATTTATATACTTGTATTATGGTCCTGATATTAAATAAAATGTGCAACCAAAATTTATGAAAATTTTGCAAAACTGCAAAGAAAACAAATTATATTAGGATATCATTAGAAATACTCTATCCCTTATCATGCAGAACATTCATAAACTACATAAGCTAAATACAAGTCAAAAGTTATTCATTTCTTCTTGCCTACAACTCTTATTGGTTCAGCTACACCTTTAGACATAAGTCCACCATCTTTACCATAATAAAGTGGTGGCCATACCAAAAAATCAATTGTTTGTCCAGATCGACTGTACACTGTATAGATATTTGTATCAAACTTCTCGCCTTGTTTGACATCCATTTTCATCAACAAAGGAGGGTCATTCAGAGCCATAAGCCAGCAAATCTCCGCACATTTCTGTATATAAGGTGTACATATTTCTATATGCTTTTTATCAAACTCCTTTTTCTCCCTTTTATCCCATGTTTTAGAGTCTACAAGCAATGCCTATAACGAAATAAAATTTCAAGAACATTTAAGCATCTTCTCATTCAAATATTATTTAAAAATCAACAGAAAAGAAAAAAATATGTAGAAGAAAAATATGGCTACATGATTTTTAAGGCTAGAGGTAATAAACTTGCTCACTGTCCACAATAGGGCATGCCAAATATACATTTTAAAACATCATCAGATATCTATCTAAGAGGAAACACAATGACAATTGGAAGTTGATCAGCCAACTGGCTGATAGACACTATGTAGTTTCAAAAATTGCAAATGTATAAACAAAAACCTTTAATAAATGTGGAAATAACGATTCGGCATTTAGTACATCTTGTTTCATCTTTTAGACTGACGGACACTGTAAAAGTCATATGGACATTCCAGCTTAACTGATGGTTGATGAACTCATGTATCGCTTTGTGCGTTATTTCAGGAACTTGAGTAGAACCACTAATCCTCTGTAAGCTACCTTGACATCTTCCTAACAAGAAAACAATCCAAAGTCTCTGATTAGACTCCAACCCACAGTATTAAGGGGCAAGTGATTTGAAGTCCGAGTAACCACTTTGCCATCGATGCCAATTTCATGTCTTTTAAGGATTAAGGGAGATTTTAATTATTAGACTTCAACAATTATTTCAATTTATCATTTCAGTCACATTAAACCTCTCCAAATAAATAATTAAAAACAACACAATACATTGACTGGAAGGGGATTATGTCATGTATGGTTCTGATCACTCCTGTGAATTTTGGTCAAAATCCTACACGCAGTTTGACCTGTGAAAGCCAGACAAGATATTTCTATTTATAGCTCTGGAGGCCATTTTGTGCAGTGAAGCAGGACGTCCCGGCCATATGCACATCTAGGGAGGGTTCTGATTACACCTGTGTAGTTTCACTGAAATCCCACAGGCAGTTCAACCTGTGAAAGCCGGACAAGATTTTTCTATTTATAAGTCTTGCGACCATTTTGTGCAGAGGAGGGGAACATGCCCACAAAATGTACAACTAGGGCTGATACTGATCATTCCTGTGAATTTTCATTGAAATCCCACAAGTAGTTTGACCTATGAAAGCCGGACAAGACCTTTCTATTTATAGCTCTGACGTCCATTTTGTGCAGCAAAGCCAAAAATGCCTGCAATATGCTCAACTAGGGATGGAACTGATCACTCCTGTGTAGTTTCATTGTAAAAGACGGACAATACTTTTTCTATCTATAGCTCTGGCGGCAATTTTGTGCAGCGGAGCGGAACATGTGGGCAATATGCACAACTTTGGATGGTACTGATCACTCCTGTGAAGTTTCATGGACCTTTACAGTGTTTACAGTTTTATGTAAATTGGCTAACTTGTTATTCAATTGCTGCACTGAGATAATACGTAGTTACTAGTTGATCTGGTTTGCACAAAAGAACACGTGGTTATGATTGTGATACTGTTTTTGAGCAGTTGACCTAGCAATGAATGGAAAAGTTGTTGCTAAATGTTCCGCTACGGAAAGGTCTACTGAAATCCCGCCAGCAGTTTGACCTGTGGAAAACTGAAACACTATCTTTTAATTTATAGCTTGCTAGCCTATTTGTGCAGCGGAGCGGAACATATGGACGAAATACACAAGAAAGGACAGTACTGATTAATCTGTCAAGTTTCATTGAAATCCTGCAAGCGGTTTGACCTGTGAAATCCGGACAAGATTTTACTTTTTATAATTCTTGCGACCATTTTGTGCAGTGAGGAGGAACGTTCCAACGATATGCACAACTATGGATGGTATTGATTTCTCCTGTGAAGTTTCACTGAAATCCGGCCCGCAGTTTGACCTGTGAAAGCCGAACAGGGTCAATGCAGACAGACAGACGGACGGCAAAGGAAATAACAACATATTTTAGGAGACATCATTTGCGGAGACATAATTCATGTGATGGATTAATTCAGTTAAACTTCAATTTTATAGCAACTTATCTGAATAGTTCATTAAATAGACTACCAAATATATTTGTTGACATTACCTGTTTAACTTCCTCTATGACGGATGGTGATACTCCAACCCTTTTACGTAGATCGTTAAGTGATGGCTGATCATTTGATGCAATTCTAGGTCTGTCAGTCAGTCCCTGTAAAGATTTCAAGAATTCAATAGTATTTTTCTATACTAGTCTATGTAAAGTAAGTGACATCTGGGGTGGAGCTAATATTTACCTCAGGGGGGAATGATTTATATCAATGTTGTAGAAATTCACAAGACAATGCTTCATTCCAAATATTTAACCTCTGAACAGAGTAGTTTCATGCAAAAAGACTTAAGTATGTTTTCCTATATAAAATGTTTTCCTGTATAAGCTTGTACCAGTAAGGCTGCATATTTTTCTCACCCTGTGACAATAGGAGTCAGCACGTTTTTCAATTTAATGACCAAGTGTAACCTTGACTTGAGGAAGCCCAAACATACCAAATATAAATGACATCAGTCAATGAAAAACGGGTACTGAAGCAAAAGTTTGATATACATTTTAATACTGCTGATTTTGATCTAAGAGCCCAAAGATAGAGGACCACACAAACTATTTTTCTAGTTAATTCAAAATTACTACTATGTAGATTTATATAAACTAAGTGACCTCCAGGGAATGATTTACATAACTTTTATAGAGGACCATGAGGTGATGCAAAATATCTAAACTCTGTGCATTGTACATGCAGAGAAGAAATTTTTAAGACATTTAATTAAATTAGTCTTTGTGAAGTAAATGATCCCCAGGGTGTTGCCATTTTTTTACCTCTTGGGCATGACTTATGTTACTTTTGTAGAAGCAATGCTTGTAACATTACAAAAGTCTCAGCTCTTGACATTTGTTTCACAAAAGAAAACTTAAATGTAATTTCCTGTACAAGTCTTTATAAACTAAGTGACCCCAAGGGTTTATAAAACTTTTGTAGAGGATATCAAGGTGATTTTACATGCCAAATATCATATCTCTTGGCATTGTACTTTCAAATAAGATGATCTTTTTATGACAGTTTTAAAAGAAAAATATAAGTAATTAAATTTAATCCGAGGGCAGGGTTTTTTTCGACCCAAGGAGCATTACTTTTTAGATATATATGGCCACACGCTAAGTATCCACAATTTCACGAAAGAAGATTTAAATCATTTTCATAAACAAGTCTATATAAACTGAGTGGTGTCTATTTTAAACCCTGGGGCATGATTTATCAAACTTATATAGAGGACAACAATGTGATTTACAAGTCAAATATTTTAACTTTTGGCATTGTTCTTTCAGAGACAGTTTTTCTTTACAAGTCTATGAAAAGTAAATGAACCCCCAGATAGGGGTCATTTTTTTTACCTGAGAGGCTGGACTTACATTTTATTTGTATATGTCTACTAGGAAATGCTACATTAAATCAAGTGACCCCCAGGGAAAGAACCAATTTGACCCCTGGATCATGATTTGAGGTTATTCTACGTTCTAAGTATCTAAGCTCTCTGAGCAATTTACTCTTGGAGATAGTTCACTATACATTTCTATATAAACAAGGCAGTCTAAAGGACATCTAAATCTCATTCCATAGCGGACTTGAATGTGTCCTTCTTGACCTTTAACTAACCATGACTTTGATGTTGTGGTATGCATGTCATAAGCACATAGTCTCATGATGTTGATTATTTGTGCCAAATTATATAAAATCTTCCATAAAGTCAAAAAGTTAAAGAGAACATATAACCTTGATCTTGGGAGAAGCAAGCACAGAACGTGTCATGGTGGGGATCCTTTGTGTCAAGTAATTTTAAAACCTTTGAATTGTAAGTAAGTTATAGAGCGGACATGAAAAATTGATGTTTTTTTGCAATGGATCTTTAAGTATGGCCCTGACCTTCAGTGTTATGACTTGATTCTTGTGCTCTGCCCATGGTGTTATAATGGTGATCATTTCTGCCAAGTTATCTTAAAAACATTGCAGCCGTTTAAATGTTATTGAAAGACAGTAATGTAGACTTTCTAACATTTTACCTGTAAGTGTGACCTTGACTTTGAGGGTAGCAACCCAAAACCTTTAAATGTGACCTTGACTTTGGGGTAGCAACCCAATTATTTAGCTCTGCACGTCGTCTCATTATGGTGATCAGTTGTGCTGAGTAAATTAAAAAAAATCAACACTTTTAAAGTTACGGAGCTGACACAAAATGTAGACTTTATAACACTTGACCTTTATCTCTGATCTTGACTTTGGGGGTAGCAACCCAATTATTGAGCTCTGCACATTGTCTCATTATGGTAATCACTTGTGCAAAGCTATCTAAAAACTCAGCCGTTTAAAAGTTACGGGGCAGACATGGAAAGTAGATTTTAAAAACTGACCTTGCCGTGGGGAGTCATCCCCAAATTTTTTGCTTTGCTTTTGTCGATAATGGTGATAAGTGTGCCCGCAATTTCATGTTTTATTGGTTAAAAAGTTATAAAGCAAAAAAATGTGACGTGTTAAAGTAACCCTATGTTGTTGAAACCCAATGGTTTGCCCTCCCCAAAATTGTCTATAAAATAATATTTTTTACAAGTTATTTAAAAAAAAATTTAGTGGTATCAATTTTTGGGGTGGTCAGCTTTTTGCTTCTGTGAAAATTTGCGTTAACGGGGCTGTTTAATAGTTTTTTAGGGTACTAAGTCATTTCCCGAGTAATTTGATCAAAAAACCCAGTTTGTTTGGTAATATTTGTTTTAAAAACATGTAGATGATACAAAAAGGGGAAAGACTGTCACAAAAAGTCACTCTGAGCATTTTTTGGCCCGTTTAGTCTGAACTAATTATTTCCATTTTTAAATTTTAGATTTTGCTTAAGCTATTGTTGACATGCACTTAAAATTGTCATCCAATAATTAGCTTAATTAATTTCAATCATATAGAATTAAGCGGTTTTGGATTACTTTTGGTATTTCGAATCCATATTTCTGTGTTTTGAATTTGTTAACTCATTTCATACAAAATGGAAACTGCCCATTTATTAACAATTATCATTTAACTTTTTTCAAAAGTTATTTTTTGAAAACACCTACAGTTTTCTTTTGGTCAAAGTGACCAAGGTTCTGAGCAGGATGTAGAAATACATTTTGTAAACTTTCCATTTGCGCTGCCATCAGTTTATTGCAAAACGTCCAACATTCCTGAAAACACATTAATTGTTGTCTAAATTGAGGGTCAGTTGTAGTCATGCCAGACATCTGTCTTAACTATGCACAGATAAATACATATAATATGAATATTAAATGATGTATACATTTTTTTATTTAAATAAATAAAGTCAAATCAACTTTCAGGTCAACTTTTGCCTCTATCATTGTGACCAAAAAAAGAGTCGGTCTATATCAGTTAAACGAGCAACGCAACGTAATGTTAACACTCGTCTGTTAAAATATTTAAGTTAAAAACAGGCATAACTCCAACAAAATTGCTTTAAGACTTATGCTGCTTGTCTAAAATTTTGACCTTGTCGTGTAAAGCATTACTCTAAGTTTCAATGATAATGACAACAAAAATGTCACAGCGATCATAAAAGCTCACATTTTTATTCGAAACAGACAGGCTAAGCTAAAATGATTTTATGGATAAAGCGATAAAACCAAAGTATACCAACTATTGTTGTTCAGAAAAAATCTTGCTTTGATGCATAAATTAGAACAGCATTTTATAGAACAATGTTTTTACAAATAGTATTATACATTACTTGAAGAAAGCGAAGTAGAACATTTATGGCCTCTTTTAATGGTAAGCCTGGCTTCTTATCAGTCAAACTTTCAAAGGCATTAGTCCATTCATAATCGTATAACTCGCCAAACTTCTCTGACAGCTTCATTGCTCTGTTTGGATCACTGAGGTCTGGTATATCAGCATTCTGCTCCTGTAGTTTCTTAACAGCTAGCTTAATTAACCTGAGTACAAAACGAAAAACCACTAAATATATATGTATTTATAAACTTTTATTACTTCCTATGACATTTTGAAGTAATGGCTGCGAAGAATGCTTAGAAAGTGGTCGGACATAAATGACAGATTAAATTGCAACATGTTAGAACTATTCTTTTAGATATGAAGCTTCCTTTCAATGCAATTTTATCATGCCAGAGATTCTTCATAATTTTAAAAGAGCACCTTGTGTGTGATTTGGGGATGGGTATGAAAGAGAAAATAACTTTATACAGCTGAGGGTAGAGGGTCCTTTGTGTCTAGGACAATACAGCAGAGTAAAGTCCTGGAAACTCCACAGGTTTTGCATTTTAACCCTAAACAAATTGTGTTTTTTAAACAAAAATGCTTCCGGCTCAGATTCTTGTCTGAGTAACAATTTTGCAAGAAAGGTTTACCCATTCACTTTATTATGGACAGAATATTTGCCAAAAAGAATGTTAACACAGTTATATAACTTTATATGAGTCATGGTGTTTGGTAATAATTGTGAAAATATAACTTGGCAAGACATTGCTATAACATGTGATGAAGTTGAAAAATATTCAAATTACATTGGTAAATAAATACAAAGGTTTTTCACAAAAAAATGGTAAAAAATCTATTGTAAGCACACGTGACCATGACCTTGCAACTTCAAACAATAGACCATCTAAGGTATGTGTCTTCCAAAAATGAAAACATCAAGTAAAAGTGTAGAAAAATATTTTAGCACATGTGACCTTGATCCAGCTGACCCCTTACACAATGCAAAGGAAAAACACCATTGTCAAACATGAAAACATCAGGCAAAAAAATAAATGCTGCTTAATCAAATGTGCAGAAATCTATTATTGGCACCCTTGACATTGACCCACTGACCCATAACTCAAACAATAGAACGAATTATATGCAAGTTATCTTCCTAACAAAAATAAGAGACATCTGTCAAAAAATAAAGGTTGTATGAGTAAAAGTGTAAAAATCTATTTCAGCACTGGTCACCTTGTGTCAACTGACCCCTTACTCCATTCAAAGGAAGATTTCTCAATTTTACGTTTCTACCAAATATAAGTCAATAGAATAAGGATACACCTGTGAAAAGTATACAAGTTTTTTAAGTGACCTTTAACTGTGATCTTCTAGGCCTATCCGTATTAATAATTAAAGACATCAATTTAAAAATAAAGAGTGTTAAAAATTATTAATTTTTTTTTACCCAAATGAACCTTGACCCCCAGTGACCCCTTACTCCGCAAAAAGTTATCCACAAAAAGAGGACTATTGAAAGTATCCATCGACTAAATATTAAAGATATCATTCAATAAATGAAGTAATTATGAGAAATTTAAGATAAACCCAACTTGCCAGAATAGGTTAACCATATTACGCCATTTTTTCAAAGCGATAAAAAGGGAACTAAATGGGAAAATGGATGACACAGTTATATAAGTAAGTATAAAAATTATGAAGCCATTAGTATTGATAGAACTTAAGATATAAAGATATATCCATTGCTTGCGAGTTTATGTTAAGCATTATTTATTTTCAAAGTGCTGAAAAGAGCAATAACTTGGCAAAAAATGGAAGTCATAGTTATGTTATTTGCCGAGAAATTTGCTTTGTATTGATTTATGTGTGTCATTATGAAGCCAGTACAGGTACAGGTAGAACCTTAGAAAAAACCAACTTACTGTTTTAGGTTAACCTGGTAAGGACAGACGGACGGACTGACATGTAAAGGAAATCAGATAAAGGGCCATTTCTAGTTCTCTTTTCTTTCGTTAAATATAGAGGGCCATGGCCACTTCCTCTACTGTTAGAGAATGAACTCTATTGTTCTTTTTTGTTTTGTTTCCAATTAGATAGCCCTCTATCCCTATTATGTAGTGCGGATGGTTCAATTGCTATATGCCCCGGGGCATAAAAAATGATTGAAGTGCCATAACTCTGACAAAACATCAGTTATTTGGAAAATTTTGAAGATACGTGCAAATAGACTTGGTGCTGAGCATTTATGTCAAGTTTGGATAAAATTGCATATTAGTTTTTGAAGAGAAGTAAAAACAAAGTTTGTGATTGATGAAAACGATGTGCACAACTTGACTTGGTACTAACCATTCCTGTAAAGTTTGGATAAAATTGTTCAAAAAGTGTTTGAGAAGAAGTCTGACAAATTGTGTTAATGACAGTATGCAGGCGTCTGTGAGATGATATGTTTATGTAGAAATTACTCTGTAGAAGGAAACAAAAAAAGACAGTTCGGGCATGGTTTATATAGTACATTTGTATTTATTGAATTTGTAGGTGCATGGTTTAAAGGATCCGAGTTTTGCTACATTACTGAAGCTCCCCTGAGCATTGCAATATTACGAACAAATGATTTTTAAAGATTAAAATATTTTCAAATTTTTGACTAAGTTGATTATATGAATAAAAACAAGCCATACACCTTTTTGTACATGTAGAGAACTATTCTTGTAGTTTGGTTACAATTAACCATGCAGTGTATGTTGATTTTTAAAAGTAACTATGGGTAACAACAGGCAAAAATCAACAGACATTATAGTGACATTATTAAAACTCATATATGAATTTTCATTTTTAAAATTGAAAGTTTGGCAAGTTTAATAATATATTGTAAACTCATTATGGTGCATTAAATGTTAAGTTTGGACTTCTATGGAAGAGGAAGCGATTCATGTTGTAAGTAAGTTTTTTTTTCTTAGAATTTCATAGGGTGTTACGGACATAAAGCAGATACAAGAATGATGTGTTTAAGGTTGTAACAGACAAATTTCACTTGAAATACGTCATGTATGCAATATATCCAGTTGAAGGTTGGTGTTCCTAAACAAAGGTCTTATCCACCTATAAAATTGGGAAGTGACCATATGACAAATTACATTGTGCTTTCAAACCAGGAAATTAACCTTCATTTAAAATGTTTGATGGAATTTCCAGTGTTCAAAGTCTTTTAGGTGTTAGAAAAATTTACATACCAAAAATAAAGACAATTTGAATTGAAAAAGAACCATTTAGCATTGACGCGTCTATAGCATAACATTTAGCGCCCCTAAAGGCTATTTTAGTATAACACAAATGATGTCTTTTTAAAAGAATATGCACGGCAATGCAATACCATTCTAAAAGAGTCATTAAGACAGCACTGGTACGTGATAAATTCCTATATTTTCAATGGCTTCAAATGGCAATAACTTACCGGTCTCTTAAATCATCTCGTTCTGCTATAAGTTTTTTGTACTGGTCATCAGATGTCCTTTTCTCGTCTTTAAAATAACCTTCCATGTACTTTGCATCTTGTTCAACCTGATTCTTTTCCTTTGCAAGAGTCTTACATGCACTCTCTAATTCTTTTACTCTAGCTTTTAGCAGCATATTCTCAGCATAATTATCATTTACTTGTCTCTCAAGCCTCATAGCTAATTCCTCCTTTACCTTTAAATGTCTTTCAACATTCACTCTTTTCATATTCTCCTCTTTTTCTCTGTAAATATTAAATAAAATACAAAACTAAAGTATTTAATGTCAACATACATTTCCAGGAATAGAAAGCAACGGCTTTTATTCATTGGTCATCTGGTCAACCTTACACAATATTAGTTTACAAAAAGTATAAATATTATATAGTAGAATTGATATCAGTCATATGATAAGATTCATTTGATTAACCCTGCTATTTTACATAAATCTCCCTTTTTGATGGTATGTTAGCAAAAACAAGTAAAATGTCTTCAAACATGCATAGCAGCCTTACCTTCCTGATAGTCAACAAATATTTCAAGTTTGGAGTGAAAATCTATGAAAGTTTTTTTATTAAAATGCAAATATTCTTAGACAAAAAGGAAAACAATTCAGCAACTAGATACCCAAAGGCAACATTTCGAGCCCACTGTAAAATCTGACCTTGAGTTTTGACCTTTAGCTTTGACTTAGCCGAACATCTTTGCATGCGACACGCTGTTTCATGATGTTTTACATTTGCGCCAAGTTATTTGAAATTCAACCAGCTAGTGATAGAATTACGGTGCAGACAAGCTGTTTGATACCATATTTTTGCATTTGACCTAAAGTAAGACCTTAACATTTAATCTAGCCAAATGATTCTTGCGAACCACAAGCCATGTCATGATGTTGAACATTTGTACCGGGTTATTTGAAATTCCACAAGCTAGTTATAAAGTTATGTTGTGGACAAGCTGGTGACCATTTTTGCATTTTACTTTACATTATGACTTTGATCTTTGACCTAACCGCACGGTTCTTGCACACGAGAGGCCGTCTCATTATTGTGAACATTTGTTATTTGAAATTCTGCCATCTAACGACAGAGTCAAACAAACCAGGGTAAACATAATCTGGACGGATGCAGGTACCAACAAACATTAATTGAACCGTCATTATTACAACTATGTCGAGCTATCTGCAAGCAGTCTATATAAAAATGGGGCTTTCTAGGATGCTGGCTCTTTAGAAATGTATTTCAAGTTTCGCCCCATTAAAGCAAAAAGGTACCAAGCGACATTTTGGCCAAAAATGACTTTTTAACATTTTTCATTATTTTTTAATGTTATCTTAAATCTGTAGAAATATCTCTGTAGTATCATGTTTATTTACAGATATAGAAGGTTATGCAAACAGGTACCATATGCATATCTGTTTGAGCAAAAAGGTACCAAGCGTCACATAGTACCTTATTGCATTGTATGACTTTACAAGTTTTTAGCATTTATTTTAATGCAAAAAGGAACCATGTGTCACACGGTCCCTTTTTGCACACAAAGAATTTACGATCCTTAAGATTATTTTATATTCCAAATTGTTTTCTTGGTACCTTTTAGCTTTTTAATGAATACACAATCTAGATCTAGGACATCAAATATAACCAAAAAAAACACCAGAGTATTGTTTCTGTTTTAAATTGAGGAATGATAACAGTGTAAAGATAATGATAGTGTATAAATGACTTCTTCACAAAACTGTGGACGTAAAAAGAAAAGTAAATCTTGCTAACAAAATACATGGGGTATATGGAAGGAGAAGCATGACACGGAAGCGCACATTTGCAAATAAACTAAATTATGATATAGTTAAATTGGTGAAACAGCATATTTCCTTAAATGAAATCTCATTATACAAGAAAAAAAACTGAAAGAAACAATACCTATCTCATGACTATGACTTAAACATTAAAAAAAAACGGAAACTGTAAACTATTGAAAGTGAAAAGAAGGAAATAAAACCTGTTAAGCAACATACATATAGGAAGGCAGTAGGCACACTAGATGGCACGATCAAGGAACAATATATTGAACATCAAAAACAGAAAGAAAATTCACAAGAAGAAAAGATTTAAAGTAAAGTTGGAGCAAAAGGTGAACCATGCGTTTATGTTGCATGTTTTGATCTCAAGGCCTTTGTAACAACCCCTTGCTCATAAGTGAGTGAGCTTTACAATTTAAGAAAACTCTGTTGCTACACAAATTGACAGTATATTCCTTATGAGACAAAAATGTTGCTGTCATGTATGGGATAAAACCAACGCTGCAAAGAGAGGTGAAATAGCTTCCTGCTTAATAAAAACCCCTTTTCTACTTGCCAAAGTGGTTATGTCAAATAAGTCATATATTTTTCAGATTCATACGGGGGACAAAACAGTAATTGATTCATTGCTGCGTCTCTTTTTTATATTATTACAAGTTCCAAGTTTAAGAGTGATCACAAATTTCTTGTATCGGGTTACTCACAGATGGAGTGACAACTTGACTCTTGAAGGGGCAAAGAAAAAAATTCCTGTATAATTATGTATCATTCAATTGTGTTCTCTTATATCACTGGCCAGAAAATCACGGCCATACATTGCTGTGTCAATGAAATATAACCATGTTTTTGATTCCAAATACTTCATTAAAAAACAGTGTCTGAGACTCAAAATTCTGGAAACAAAGTGATCCCTCGGAAGCATTAATCACAACAAAATAACATAAGAATTGCAGATTCGGTTTGATTGAGTCTGTGAATGAGGGATAATGAATAAGTGCAACATCCCTCACGCCCCCTAGCACCGGCTTGAGCGGTACTCAATTCTCAACACTTTATAGTGTTGGCATCAATGATCCCGAAGGACCAGAAAATATAACAACACTGAAGTGAAGTAAATCCATTGACGGACAAAGAGTAAACTGGCTACAAGTGGAAGGTACCAAAGGAAAGCCCAAAGTCAGCCATTTGTAAATTAGAGCTTCAATGCTGAAGATGTTATGGAAATAGAAGTTCAGAATACAGAATCTAAAGTATTAGTGGACAAATGGTGAATAATATATGAAGTTATGATACAAAACCTCCAGTTTCTATTCAAAAGAAAAATGACTTGGTTACTTTGTGTGCAAAGAAAATTATCCAAAAAGAGTTCCATAATTATAATGCCACTTAACCAACATAAAAGAAAGAAAAGGATTATGTCACAATGGAATCTGATGAGAATGATTCTGATTTTGACTAACAATGTAAGAGATTTTGACAAAGGCATTGAGATTGATCACAAAGGAAGACTTTCAAAACATGCAGTGTGATAGTTGTATAAGACATTTACTGAAAACACAAGAATTTCATATTATTATTTGTATCATTGTAGAATAAACTGTAACCAAATGATGCTTTTTGTTAATATTGTTGGGACAAAAAGGTGCCAACTGCCATATGGTACCTTTTTTTATATATTCGACAGCAAATGTTAAAAATCATACAATGCAAAAAGGGGCCAAGCGATCATATGGTGCCTTCTTGCATTTGTCGGTCAAAATTTTTATTAGTGCAAAAAGGAACCATTTCCTTTAATTGATTAATTATCACTTATTAGTAATATATAAGCTTTCCAACTTTTTGAGCATGTACATTCAAACATTTTCTAAATATATGTAAAGTTTCTTTGCCATGTTGTAAAAACCTGATTTGATATGGAACTTCAAATCTTTAAACGCGATTTTCTCGAAAACATGAAAATGTCACTTGGTACCTTTTTGCTTTAATGGGGCGATTTGTTAGTGAACAAGTATTTCAAGTCTTAACTCAATATCTGTGATACTTTTGCAAAATGTACCTGAACAGAGAAGATAAATAAGAAATTCAAGGTCAAAATGGGGACAAAACTGAGAATTGCTTTTCTTTATTAAGTACCTTGGCAAATAAAAATGCATTCCAATTTGAATATTTAACAAGTATTTAGGCTAGATATTATTAACTTTGACAGTTTTTGAGAAATTGAAATTTCAGTGCGTACTCATCGTGCAAGATAAGCAAGTTTACCTCATTTCATTGAGATATCAATACACTACACAGACCAAATAATCTCATGCAGTTGTATCATGCATGCAAGGGCGACTTAAACAGCGATTTCCAGTTTTACTCAAATAATCTGATGTCATATTTAATAAAATGTCCTACACAGAAACTTTGCTCTTCTTCCACTTAAAAAAACATTATCGTTAAATCTTTAGACTTTTAGCAGCCATGCCATGGCTCTCTGAAAATCAATGTAATCAGGTTATTGGGATGATTCAAGCAGCGCAAAAGTTATGAACGTTGCACAGCATTTTTGCTGCTTTAGGCAAGCAATTAATAATCTTAATACATGTTTCAGTAATACTGAATCTATGTATGATTGTCCGAGATTTGGTGCACTCGTATGACGTCACTATAGGATGGCCTTGTCATTACCTAAATCACCTTCACAGCCGGTTTTTGCCTGCTACAGCTACTGCTCCGCAGCTACATTTACCCAAACTATCCTTAATGGCCTTGTACAATCCAACATTTCAATTCGTGCCGCAGACCACATACTTGTCAGATACTGAGACCCCACCATAGGCTAGACATAGCGTCACTTACCCTTGGCACATAACCAGAGGGGTCCGGCTATTTTCAAGGAGAACTCTTGCCTAAGAGTAAGTCATGCTGACTGAAGGGTACGAATCTCTCGTCACCACAGAAATGAACGTTTCACGCAATGTTGCATCTGGGAAAGGAATAGGTTTGGTGGGGGGAGTGAGACGGTGGGAGGGATAATGGAGGACGGAAAAACAGCTTGTGGTTGCGCCGTGCTCTTACAGCACAGGATTGTGTTCTGGCAAACACTCTTTTACCTTTCATGCAGGTTCATGGTCCTAGGTTACATATCAAGCAAGCCAAGGCAATACCACACTCTGCTTGTTTAACAGCAAATTTTCTAGCTGCAACCATGTTAACGTCTTTTTCCTAGACCCCCTGTCTACCCAGATATGAATCCCTTTGAATTTATCTGGGATAAACTTGGGTGAAGAGTGAGCACAAATCACCAGATAGACAATGTTAATGACTTCGCAAGGGCACTACATGTGGAATTGCGGACCTGTCTAATGTCTTAATCAGGTGTTACGTTCACTCCATGAGGAGGAGAATTCGAGTGTTTTTTGACAGTTTCGGGGGCCACACATGTTACTAAGTTGTTCT